TGGAGAGACGTGGCTAATGAACTCGGCCGCTTCCAGGGGAGCGGCGGAGCAGGACCTGCGGGAGCGCGACCTCACGGGCTGCCTGGAGTTGGTGGCCATCTGTTTGGTGGAGGTGGCTCGCCGCCATCCAGGCCACCGCTCTCACACGTGGCGTTTCTCAGCTCTGTTTTTAATTGCTAACTGATGCCGTCTCCCTGCATTTAATTTAGCATTTGTTCCCTTATCTCCGTCAGGGTGAAGAGGCCAAGCGGCATGAGCAGCCTCCTGGGGAAGATTGGCTCCAAAAAGCAGAAGATGAGCACACTGGAGAAATCTAAACTGGACTGGGAGAACTTCAAGGAGGAGGAGGGGATTGTGGAGGAGCTGGCAATCCATAACCGAGGGAAAGACGGGTAAGAGGGACTTTATCTAGTAGTAGCCCAGCATTTCCCACCACTGCATATACATGTAGGGACCCCTCGCTTGCTACAGAGAGTTCAGCAAACCCATGGGATTTCTTAGGGATTTGTTCTAGGGGTGCATAAAGCCGGTAGCTGCTCTAGGTATCACAGGGAGACAGGTAAGTCTGCCAGCAGCTATTGCTCTCTGCGAACCTCATGAGTTCTTCAAGTCCAGCCAAAGTAGAGTCTGGCTGTGCTTTATCTTCTCTCCCGCGAAGCGGCAAGAGATGCAGCGTGAACCAGTCTAATGCAGCACTCCCACGAGGAAACGCAATTGCCTTTGCCCCCTCTTCTTTTTTTTTTTTTAAAGAAAAACAAAAAGAAAAAGTCTCAAATTGGGAGGTATGATTTTTGTTCCGCTCTTCGAATGACCCGTTCCAGCTGCGTCTGTCCCCCCTCCTCCTGCGTAGTGACGTAGGCAAACCCAGCACAGCTGGCAAGGTGCGTTAAAGATTATGGCAGCACTGGGCGCTGATGGTGTGCGTCAGGCGACGTTCACTCCAATGGAGTTAATGGAAGTGTCGTAAAAGTAAATGGCGATGCTGTAAATAAAACAGAAAGTTAATAACGAGCACTGCAGGGAGGGATAATAAGATCAGAAGCGGCGTTTCCACTGCAAGTGCTTTGCTAAGCTCTGGGAAAACGTAACCTGCTTATTGGACAGCTCATAAAATGTATTTTTATTGTAAGCTGTTCTTTCACTCTGCGGGAAAAACTCCGAGCTTCTGCATTCCAACAGACTGGATTTTGTATTTCAGATAGATTAACTGCTGGGTTTTTTGAGTTCGGCCTTGCACCCTTCTCCATCATATCTGTTTCTGGACACTCGCCCTTGAACAAAGAGAGGGATTCAGTAGGAGTGCTGGAGGGGGACAGGGTGGTCCCCTGAGATCCTTGAAATCCGAGGAGGGGAGCGATTTCCATCGCAGATGGGTGTGCACCAGGTCATCACCGGTGCCGTCTGCGGCGTGGCCAGTGTCACAGTCAGAGCCCTGTGCGTGAGGCTCTCCGCTGCAATGACCCGTGCCAGGAGTCTGGAGGCAGAACCAGGCCGTGTGCCGGGCTCTGTCTGAGACAGAGGAGGAGGAGGGTGAGCTTCTCCCACGAAGCCCCATCAGGAGCTGCAGGCTGCTTTGGGAGAGCCCTGTTGCTCTCTGTGGCACCTGGCTGGCTTGTCCCAATGGGATGCGGAGTGAGAGTTTGCCCTACGCAGACATCTGAGCGACTGCCAAGTATGTCACCAGCTTTGGGCTCTCGCTGCTCTGGGCTGGGCTGATGGCGGTAGTACCACCATTAAAGTCCGGGCCATCTCCTGCCAACTGCTGAGACACGCTGTTTCTTTCCACAGTTGGTGGAATGAGCCTGAATCAGGGTCCATCATCTCCGCTGGGCCGTACGCACCCAGAACAGGCCAGGCTGCCCTGCGTGAGCATTCTGTGGCTTCTCTGGCGTGTTCAAACCCAGCACATCAACCTTTCTTGGCCAGTGGTGTTTCCTTTCCCACCCTGCACAAGCAGGACAGCTCGCTCTTCATGCCTGGCAGGCCTTTCCAGAGAGGCTAACGTAACGGTCCTTGAAGGCTGAAGAAGGGATCAGCACATTGAAAAGATGAGCAAGGCAAAGCAGCAATTTTAAGAGCGTCTGTAAGCTTGGGCAGCTTTGGGTTTTGCTGCCCGTCACATCCTAGGCTAGAAAATCCCCTGGGCTGTTGGCAGGTGGTTTTTGTCATTAAGCAAACGAGAAATGTGATGCTGTGATAACTCTTGACGCTCCTGACAAATCTCTTTGTGCTAGCCAGGCACGTAGCGTGAGGGCATTAACCAGTGAATTGCATCCGCCTTCGAGGCAAAGGAAGGGAGAAGGGCCGAGCACCCGTGGGCGCGCAGCCCGGTGCGTCTCTGCGCGCAGGCCACCTGTAAGCGGCCGTGGTGCTGCCGCCAGCCTGCCCGGGGGACAGCTGCTGACCGCTGCGGCGCTCTTCGCGGGGGGCCGGTGG